TCCTTCTGGCCATTCTCAGATACAGACCTGATTGGTGGATTGCTGCACAGATGGTTGTCCCTCTGTAAGGTTCTCCTCTCTCCACAGAAGAATGCTGGAGCTCAGACAGAGTGACTATCGTGTTGTTGATCACCTCCCTGACTAAGACTCCTCTCCCCTGATCACTCAGCTTAGATGGCTGGCCAGCTCTAGGAAGTCTCCAGCTCTAGGAAGTCTTCTGGCCAGCAGAAATTTATATGTAATCTTTCCCAGCCTTGTGATTTGAGACAATCTTGTCCCGTAGGTCTACAAACAATTTTTTTGTCTTCATGCTTGGTTTGTGCTTTGACATGCACTTTCAACACTGGGACCTTATACAGATAGGTGTATGCCTTTTCAAATCATGTTTAATCAACTGAATTCACCACAGTTGAACTCCAATTAAGCTGCTAAAACATCTCAGGAATGATCAATGGAAACAGAATGTACCTGAGCTCAGTTTAGAACTATACGACAAAGGCTGTGAATACTGATGTACATGTGATTTTTCAGGTTTTATGTTTTTAATAAATTTGCAACAATTAAAAAAATAATAATTTTTTTACATTGCCATTATGGTGTATTGTGTGTAGAATTTTAAGGAAATACATTAATTTAATCCATTTTGGAATAAGGCTGTAACATAAAGAAGAGTTCATGAAGCGCTATGAATACTTTCCGGATGCACTGTACACCAATCATCATCGCTGGTTGATTATGTCTCCTGTCCTAGCCTCGAACACCCCCTACCCCCCAAAAAGAGAGGTGCTATAGCTGAGAGAGACACTGCTCACATAAAAACTCCAGTGCTTCAGTGTTCTCAATTTTAGTAAAGCACATTTTATTGTCAGTAACGGTTATGACGTAACGGGGAAACAGTAATAAAATTGATTACTCATTACTGAAAACACTATCGCAGTTAGTAACACCATTTATTTACAGCACCTCTATTCCATCACTGCTGATAAGCAACATGAAATTGCATTAATAATATTAAACAACTGATTCAAGTAACAATGAAATCAAAGATAATCGTTCTGTGAAAATGCCAGCTGTTTGCATGGCTTATCAGGGAAGTACAGCTGTGTGTTGTTTCTGGATATGAAAGCTTGTACCACATTTAATATGTTTATACTGAAATCTTGCTTCATAACTTCAATCAAGTGTTTGAAATAAATCCTTCTGTAGTCATGCATTGAATCAATTAGACCAATTAAATACCATCTGTTTATTGAAAAACTGCTACTGGTTTAGTAATTCACAAGAGTGGCCTCTGGTTTTTGAAGAAATTTTACTACTGATCACACAACCGTGCGTCCTTAAAAAAAGGTGCATGTCAATTGAAGTACTTGATTTGTTGTGATTTCATTCGGATTCGTTGTGCAGTCCTAATTCATTTATCATGAAAATATTCTATGTAATCCTCCTAAAGGACAAAAACAAAAGTTGAAGGTGTTCAATTACAAATAGCACGTTGGAATCCCAAAGAAGACATAACATGATCCTTTCTGTGTCATGTTGTGTGAAGAAAAAGTACCAGGTGACTTAATGACTCAATTTACCTCATTTGATGGAGGTCAAACCCCTAAATAACAAAAGAAGGGAATTGCTCTCAAGGCCCTATCACTGTTAAATTAGATGTGAAAAACCGGCTTATATACCTTAAGGAATAACAAGCTAACAGGAGATTGCTCTGGAAGCCTCATTTGGAGGGGCCATGGCTGCTATTAGCGGGCAGCTGTGCGGGAGGCTGGCTAGAACATCTCATTACGCGGACATGAATCTTCCACCGCTGGAGAGAGCAACCTTTCCACTTGGCCCACTCCCACATAGTCGTGAAGAGGCCCCGAAGGCCACGTTCAAAGCCATCGCATTAGATCACTTGCAGGAATAGCACATCGGATTGATAGCATGGAGGCTTGATGTGCTTCAAGAGGCTGCCCATTGGACAGTGAGCCAATTGCATTTACGATGAGGCAATCGGCCAAAGCGGTCCTCTGTGGAGACACAATGCACAAACCCCCTTTTAGTTCAACTGTAGAGATGAGGGGATCAAGCTGACAATCTTTGAGGAGCCTCTGATTGTTTGTTTTTGTGCAAGACGGAGAGTTCACAATTATGCTCCTCTTCCAGAAACAATTTCACAAATGTGGTCTGACGACGAGCATCAAAACTGTCTGATGACCACTTATGAGGAGACATACTGTTTCAAATGGACTGCTGGCTAAATGCCATTGTTCTGGAACAGAGCTTTGATCGTTGGATCAAATCACGGCAATCCCGATAAAGATATAATGCTATATTTTTCAATTTATCTACGGCTCTCTTCAAGTTCTTTTGAGTCAAATAGGTTGATTGCAAATTCGTAGCAAAACTATGTAGCTGAGCATGGTGATTACAGCCTTCTACACAATAACTTCTGATTAAAAGCAGTCTGAGTTGTAATAATGAGACAAGTCTATAGGGTGTCGTACACCTGGGTGTACGGCGTACACAGTAGACACCTGCATATTTAATATCAAAGAAAAGAACATTCTAATTATACATACCTTCATTAAAACAGAAAGCCTAGCAACTGATTGCAAAGCCAAACATACATGAGGACCATCCTCCAGAGGTGACATTAGAAGTTTCGAGACTGCGTAAAAGTAAAACAGGTTTAAAAAAAAAGGACACCAACTTTTTAAGGTACACTTGAGGGTTTAAACACTGCTGTTGTTTTTTCAGACAACAACAACAACAACAATATATATATATATATATATATATATATATATATATATATATATATATATATATATGAATGACAGTGGTGCAGTAGGTAGTGCTGTCGCCTCACAGAAAGAAGGTCACAGGTTCGAGCCTCGACTAGGGTCACTTTAGCAGTGGAGTTTGGATGTTCACCCTGCGTCTGTGTGGGTTTCCTCCAGGTGCTCTGGTTTCCCCCACATTCCAAAGACATGCGGTACAGGTGAATTGAGTAGGCCATAGTGTGTGAGTGTGTATGGATGTTTCCCAAAGATGGGTTGTAGCTGGAAGGGCATCTGCTGCGTAAAACATATGCTGGATAAGTTCGTGGTTCAATATCTGCTGTGGCGACCCCAGATTAATAAAGGGACTAAGCCTTATATACTATACATATATAACAGGGGAGCGAATAATTCTGACTTCAACTGTATATATAAAACAAAACTTTTGAGTGAAAATTTCTTTAAAAAAATCAAGTGAGCGCCATCTCTTGCAGCTCTGGTATGAGGCGAGATTTTTGCTGGAGGAATCTTACCAAATACTTTATAACCCCCAGGTTAACATGTATGCAAACATGAGAGAAGGATAGGGGACAGTGCTGGAGGAAATGTGGAGAAGACTTAGCAAACCATTTTCATACTGGCAGAATGTAATGCAAGTAATACGAAAATTCTTTGGTGATGGAATGGACTTTTCTTTAACAGCATTTTAGCTGGGAAAAACTGAAGCTTAATGGTAAAAGACAAGTATTTAATAAAAATGCTTCTAGCAACCAATAAGAAAGCTGTCACTCAAAAATGGCTACAGCTTGAACCCCCTACAAAATTTAAATGGTTGGATATGGTATCTAAAGATCAAATTATGGAGAGGATGACTTTTTTAAAACTACAAATGGACAAATATCTAAAATATTGGGAGAAATGGATTGTACTTGTGCCTATTATTATTTTTATTTATTGTTAAAGTTTTTTTCTTTTCCTTTTTCTTCCTTAAAAATAGAAATAAAAAAAGATCAATTGAGCATTCCAACAACTCAGTTTTCAACAAGAAACTGAAAACTCTCCAAAATGGGATATATTGCCCTCTGAAGGGCACTTCGAAGAGAAAATGATTTGGCTCCCATTTTGTCCAAGTGTCATTCCAAACTCAAAACTGTTCGCATCGAAGGGCCATTCGGTATGAAGCATTTCCAAGGGTACAACTGATTTACACAACGTCCCCCTATGATCCTTTGTGCTTTTTGTTGCATACTACGTTTCATTTGGAAGGGCTGTGCTCAATCCCTTGGAAAATGCAGTGTTAAGCTGTGTCCCAAATGGCACACACTATGTACTTATGCACTTACACGCTCAACAGCATATCATATGTATTTAGTGTTGTGCCAAATGGAGCACTAACTTTTTTTACTAAGCAGAAATTCTAATCGTTTCCCTGATGACGTTTGACGATCGCCAAATTAGTGAAATAAAATAACACCTGTCATGAGTATAATCGCATTCACCATCAGGAGGCGCTGTTATCACTCTCGTAGGAGAATTTTACTTTCACAATCCAAAATAAATAATGTAACCCAAGAAAAGCGCCCAAAAGCTCTGCCCCTTCCGCTACATAAGCAAAGCTGCGGCAGTTGAGTGCGTGAAGTGTGTCCAACATAACACACTTTAGTTTATCGGTTGAATAAGTGCATCATCAGGGTATTTAAAGTGCACTTATTCTTTTGAGAGTTTTTTAGTGTGAATCCACTAGTTAGGCTATTTATACGACAAAATGGCGTAGAGTACAGGATAAGTATGCGATTTGGCCCAAATTACGGATGACAACACTAAAGGAAAATAAATCTAATTTCTTTCCTAGCTTTACTGATTTCGACAAAATTGTTTAAGAAACTGTCTGTTCCACCTACACACTGTTTAATTTGTAAATCACGAGGTCTCAAGACAGATCAGCATGTTACCCGAAGATGGAGAGGTGTCGCGCATGAAAGTGTAGAGCGGGGGTTGGATGGGGGAGGGATGATGCGAACGAAGTGAAGAGCAGGGGGTTTTTGCGGATGAAAGTGAAGAGGGTTGTAGAGTCGCGGAAAAAAGTGAAAATCAGATGGGGGAGGAGGGTGACTGAGGAGGGGGATTGGTAAAATGAGGTGCTGGCTCAGATTTCAGAGGAGCCGGATCCGGCGTGTTCCGGCACAAATTGAGCCCTGCACCTACACCTTGAAGAAAAACCCTACAGTGGTGTTCATCAGTTTGAAAATTTATTTTCATATAAAAAGACACTCTATGAAAACAGTAGAGGACTACTTTGTACAATCTTATGTATAAAAAAAACTTAAATGGTGCAAGGAGGATTCTCTGTGGTAGCCATCTTCTTTAGCCAATGGGATCGTGTGTGCTGGCAAGGGGAGGGATCTGAAAGTTTCAAACACGTCAAGTCATGAAGAAAACATCCTGCTGGTCAGGAAGTCCGGGGAAACATATTCAGTCTTCAATCCGTTCACACCCAGCTGTTGTTCACCATTCATTTTTCAACGATCATCCTCCTCACAATGCACATATCCAAAATACATATCTCATAAATTTGATGTGACTGTAAGGCCATTCTCAAGTAGTTTTTTTCTTTTTCTTTTTAAAGAGCAATACATAAATCTGTTCAAAACATAGTTAGTTTAGTGGGGTTTTTGGGTGTAATGCTCCAGTTTCATTAAGTAGGACTCTGTAAACATCTATGAAAAACCCAACACTCATATACATAGACGGAAATAGAGTGGGATGACAAAACATTGAAACAGCTGATGACTGCATCAGATAAAATAGCAAAACAAAAAACAAACAGGCACTGTAAAAAAAGCAGGGTTTGCGTACAGGTGTGTGGTTGTTAAGACGGCATCTTATAGAACTTAAATATCCAGCTCACCTGTTTGGTTAATCTTATTGATTTTTCAAAACAAGGCTACAATTGCTTTTCTCAGAACGGAAAGATAAATGACCTCACTTTCTTATAGACTTAATCTAAAATTAACCCCTCTGGTTGCATTTGTCTTGTTTCAAGTGGGATTTGTGTTTGTGTTTTCAGCATTGGAGGCAGGCACACCAACCATGATGCTCTCGCATCAGTTGCTATTATGATTATTGAAGCCATTGAAATTAGCGTTAACTTTAATCTTGGTTAATCTTACCCGACCTAAAAACCTTTAGAGTCAACCACAAGTGTGGTTGAGGTCAACAGAGTGGATGATTTTACTCACTCGTAGAGTTTGGTCTCCATTACACTTACACCCCTAAACCTCATTCTCATCCAAGTCAGGGCACCCCTGTCCCTCTCAGAGTGGGATTTAACTGGTGTTTCATGCATGCTAAGTGGGCACACTAAATACCACACACACTCTAACATGCCTTTAGACCAGGAGACTGAAGCTTAATAACACACTTACTATTACCTGGCCTCTGTTATCTCACTCCTATCCGGGTCACGGCACCAGTAGGGGATAAAGTCACTAACAAGGACCCTGAAGACCACAGCCTCTAATGTCAAACACCAGTGTGCCGCTTCAGGTCAGGAGAGTGAGGTTTTTCACTTCTTTTCCACTCAATCTCTGAATTCTCACAACCATCCGGGTCACGGCACCAATTTACACATCCAGTACTCACCCTGCTCTGAGCAGGAATCAGACTGGAAAAGGTGGCACGCAATCTAACAAAACAGTCAAGACTGTAGCCTCTAACAGTCACTAGTGTGCTTCTTGAGACCAGGATTCCACTCAACCCTCAAAAACACAACCATCAGGGTCACGGCACCAACGCAACCATTCCAGTTTAAATTACTCCCCCAGAATACCAGCTTTTGTTTCTGAAATGGGTGGTGTGCACACTTATACTAAATAGCACAACCTCTAGCATTACTTGCTAATGTGCCTTTGAGGCCTGGGGGAAGAGTTTTTACTCGCACAACCAAAATATATTCCTACATATTCTGTATGCAATATCACAATTATGCTACAGTACTGGATACCAGCACTGCAGATCAGTGTCAACCTTCTGACAAACAGAGCTCTTGTTCGTGTGATATTGCTTATCTCATATATGAGAGTAAAATTCTTGACTGCGGTTGAGAAGGGAGACGAGAAACTACTTTTAATTGCCATGGTGGTTTGGAGATTTTTCAGGCGGAAGAGGCGGCCCATGTTCCCCATTAGTGCAGATTACTTGCAAAGGTTAAAATGGCATGCTCTAGTCTTGCCATCTGTGCCTATATGATATGCTGACTTTAGGGATCTTTGAGCAGATGAAATTCGCGCCAAGTAAGAAAATGTCAGGACAAATCGTTATTCTCCCAAGATAATTACCACACCTCTCTCGCTTGTTCGCCCTCTCTTTCTCGCTTTCCGAGTCTCCATGTGGAGTTACATCAGCCAACACGATTAATGAATGGGTTATGAAGAGGAGAAGGGTTGACAAAGATGACCTCGGCAGCCTGCTTAGCATTAAGCTAACTGTCAAACTCCATGGATGGAGTGCAAAAAAATCAGTTCAGCTAGAGTCACTGGTTTTCAGTTTCACAAAGAGCTACTTTTTTAGCGAGAGTAGAAGTGAAGCACAACATAAAGATGGCAAAGAAATGTGGAAACTTCCCTGACAGCAGAACTTTGCGTTGGTTAAAAAAAACTTCTCAGTTTGAATTGGATAAGCCTGATACCAAATTCCAAAGCTTTCTATGACTGGAATGCGCATTATTTTGGTTGTTTTGGAGATGGATGCTTCCCTTAAGTGAAATGATTTGACATTTATCACACATACAATTCTGTAAAGCGTTTTGGAAAGCATGAATAAAACACAATCCCACATGAAATGATACCTGAAGTTTGACTGTATAATATAAAATAAAATATATATATATATATATATTAAACAAAATAATGCACAAGCATTCTAAATAAAAATATAGAAAACAAAAGAAAGCTAGATAAGCTTTTGTGTACAGTACGCCTGATGCAGAGGGGGGAAAAAAAGCAGAGGATGGCACATATTAATAATCGCTTTCAAAACTTCCCCTCCCTCTCCCCTGACAAACAAACAAACCAAGAAAAAGGGAAACAGAACTTGAGTCATCCAAGAAATGCGAAGACAGAAAGGGGGGAAAAAACCCTAGGGGGTTATTAAACAGTGTGCGAATCATCAATACCGATTTTTCTTTTTTTTTTTCCTCTATAAAAAAAGAAGGGTGCAGAAATATTATTTTTTTTTGTTAAATTCCCAAATCATCAAACAGGTGAAAGAGAATCCTTTCTGGAGTAAAATCAAGACATTTCAGAAACAGTTTGTTAAAAATTTGTACCATACTCTCCAGGCCTCACTCTTTCACGTAATGTCTCTGTGTGAAAATATAGAATAGAGCACTCTTCATCTCTGGTTTGTCCTGTAAACGAGTACAGAATCCTTTAGAAACGCGTCTTGCTGAAGATCACTGACTGTGTGAGTATGTAAGAGGGTTTAGTTGTCTCTTAGTTTGTTGTGGGTGTGTGTTTTTCTTCACACTTCAGTCTGGAAGTCTCCTTCGGATGTGTCAGGTGTGTTGACGGAGGATGTGTCCCAGGGTTTACTTCGTAACTCCAGTCTGTCCTTGTGTTCGTTGGAGCCACACGTCTGCTCAGGGGTCATGGTCTTAAAGCTGTCCCAAGATCGCTGGTCATCTGTGGTGGACTTGTCCTGAATATGCACATACAAAAAAGGGAACAAAAAGATTGAAATTAAAACCTGAGCATGAATGTTTACCATCTACAGCCTCATATACTCTCTTTATATAGATTGTAATACGCATGAATTCAATACATATAATATATACAGTTGAAGACAAAATTATGGCACTCATAATATTTTTTAAATATTCATAATACTCTTTAAATGTATATGTGTTTACACACACACACACACACACATATATATATATATATATATATATATATATATATATATATATATATATATATATATATATATATATATATATATACCGATTGGCTGATAGCCTGCAATATTCTGCCAGTAACAGTACTCGACCAACCTCTTCACCCTTGTATTACTCCGCCCACAAACAGCAACAAGCACAGGACACTCTACACTCTACAGACAAATATTCTTGCTGTTGGGCAACATAATGTACTTTTGAGGCTTTTTTAGTCAAGAATATAGTTGTTTAGATTGGACTATGTAGTTTATTTATAAGGATAATGACTATCTTAAAATATTTATCATTTCTGAGAGACAGTGGCCATTAGCCTGTCTTTGAACAAAGATGGTTGACGTTGTCTATCCATAAGGGTCGCATAACAAGCCCTTAGAAAATTAAAATGGTAATTTCTTACAACAGCTGATCAAATCATTATTATACTGGTAAGTGATATTCTGAGTCGATTTCTCCCTTTTGTATGTTGTAGTGCTGTATTTATACCATATAATTGTTGTGTATTAAATGTGAAATGGGACTCACATATCAGGAATGTGTGTTGTGTTGGCAGAAACAAAGAAGAAATTCCCGCATGTCTTTAGCGTTTGTCCTTATTGCAAACACAACAGCAGTTTGGTAGTGATTGCGCTGCTTTTTCCGGGGTTAATTATTGTGATATCCCAATTGCAACAGAGAAAAACTGTAGACTGTGATAGACTGTATACTGTAAGGAGAAATCTCTGTAGATGGATGGTATTTTATTTCACATTCAGCCTTATAATCTTAAAATGTGAGCAATACCCCTGTTTTGTCTTCACTTTAGACATTACACTAAAGAATCATTCAAACTCTAGCTCTAAAGTGTTATTGGTGAATTAGTAAGGGCTTCTGCTGTTCTGACGTCAGATGGTGAATGAATGGTGGAAGAAAGTAGTTCCTCATACAAAAAGGTTTTTAGACTCTCCGTGTTTGATTTTCTTTTCCATATACACGATTGTGCTGTCTAACTGTTGTATAAACGCAATATCACAATCATAGCAGTGCGATATGGCTGTATATCAGCACTGGTGGGACAACACATTTCTCCCACCAGTGCTGAAATACATTCATATTGCACTGCACTTCTACTTGTGTCATATTGCTCATATATATAAATATAATAAACAAGTAATCTAAAATAAAAGTTATTTTTGAGTGTCTTGTCCCTATTTTAACTTTAAAATAATCTTTCTATATTTTGAATAAAACATTGCTTTATTTATTTGATTGATTGTTATGATTTTACTATTATTATTATTTTTAGTTTTGTTTTTACTTACAAAATAAATCCTCACTGTAGTGTAAATAAAAAAATAATAAAAAAATAATTCAATCTAAAACTAACTTTAAAAAAATGTGATTATTATTATAATTCATTTATTATTATTATCTGCCATTTTGACCAGGTGTCACTTAAACAAGAGACAGCACTGTCTCAATGTGATCTCTTGGCTAAATAAAGGAAATAATAATAATAATAATAATAATAATAATAATAATAATAATAATAATTAATATTAATAATTTACATTATTATTAATCTTCTTATTATTATTAATAATTTTATTTTTGGTTTCCTCAAGAATGATTTTCTTCCTTTTGTTTTAGTTTATATGGATTTTTTTGTATTTATTTTATTTTTAAAATGATCTATATTACTAGCTCCCTATTTATTTATTTATTTGTTTGTTTTTCTACAGAACACTGCTGCCCAATTAACAAAAAACTTGCATAGCTAACCTAATTAAACTAGTCTTTAATTTGCACTAACAAGCCTTTAATTTGTACTTTTATCTGAAAATTAGCATCTGGCAAAATGACTAGTAAAATATTAAGTACTGTCATCATGGCAAAGACATTAAAGGAATTAGAAGAAAATTACAAGAAATTAGTCACCAGGAATTATTAAATATAACTATTGAAAATTCTGTGGAAACAAATCTTCTCTTCATTAAACAAAACTTTTAGAAGACTTCAAATTTTACAGGAGGGCTAATACTTTTGCTTTCAACTGGATAAAACTGGCTAAGCTGTGGCTAAGGTATGAATGTATCTATACAACCTTTGCACATCTTTGGATCACATATCTGAACAAAAATACCACAAACTTTAAATATACTGCAAAATATCATTGCTAAATAAAATACAATTCCATTTCTAACAATGGCAAAGCTGAATGTTAAGTAATTTTCAAGTGTCACATGATCCAGAAATCCTTTTACTTTTGTGCTAAAGCAGCAGTTTACAAATGATCAAACTGCAAGAATGATTACATAGCAATACTGGTTTGTAAAATAACACTGTTTACTGTATTTTTGATCAACTTTATAAATGAGCAGGTTGATAAATAATTAACACACATTTAAATTAAACATAATTTATGCAATGAATAAAAAACTAAAATATTTGGTTAAATAACATCAAAATCCACACCCCATTCCAAATGTTTTTCAAAATTGACAGCAACACATAACTGTGATATTGTATCAAAACAAAGAATCCTATTGAAATCCATAGTTCTTCCAAGAGTATCCCAAGCCTGAAAAAAAGCCATGTTATGTCATGTGTAACGCAACTAATGGAGAGGTGCTCGGGCATTTATAATTCACATTTAATGGGCCTAAATACACGTTATAACAGCAGCATAAAACGAAACGATCTTCTTGCATTATGACTTGTCTACAACATACGGAGCATCGTCTGCATTAGTGGTGGTATATGGTGCGCTTTATTTCTGCCTATTCCAGGTGTTCATTACTCCAGATAGCCAGAACACATACACTCGCCATACCCATTAAGACTAATGATGTATCCTACAGCTATATAACCTCTTAATGGTAGGTAAATGGCATGATACAACAGGGGCAGATTAATCTAATCGCACAGAGACTGGGGCAATATGAGGCTCGGATTGTAACCACTAGAGCCAGGCTACTGGAAGAGGACTCATCACAACTTCTATTCCCAGCTTCGTTAGAAAATGAGATGTATGAAGCTGCATATCTCGAAACGTTTGAGGCGATCAATTACAGGGTTGCTGTCAGCTCGCCCTCAGCTCAAACGTCTGCTGATTGTGTGTGTGGCGGATAGGGAGATTGGAAAACACCACGTAAATGACTCGTCTGAGGTTTGTCTGTGAATAAGTTTCTTCCACTTGTTTGTGGAAATGGAGGTCTGAGCATTCATACACCACACATACAGTACTGTGCAAAAGTCTTAGGGCCCCAATTACATTTGTTTTAGTGTGAGTACTTATTATTATCTTTATTAAAATACAATCAGAAAATACAGGGTCTTAATTGTTAGAGGAAGATGAAGAAATTAATGTACTGTGTGTACATACTAATGTATGTAATAAATTAAATTACTGGAGTTTCTGTCTTGGTTTGATTTGCATTTCAGTTAGAGGTGTTGTCAATGTTGTCTGAAATGATGGGATTGTGAATGCTGAAAAGTACAGATTTTTATTTGTCATGTAATTTTTTGCTAGAAAGCACCTCATTTGTAAGTTTTTAAATATATTTCAGCATGATAATGCATTCCAAACACACTGCTAATGTACTTAAATCATATTTGGAGAGAAAAATAGCTGATGGTACCATCATGAAACGGCCTCCACGGAGTCCAGACCTGAATATTATATACAGTATTTATAGGTAATATTATAGGCAGTGCTTAATTTGTAAATTGCGAGGTCTCTGAACAGATCGGGGTAACGGCTCCTGCACGTTACCAGAGGAGGGAGAGGCATCGGTGAGCGAGGGGGTGGGGGTGTTGCGGATGAAAGTGAAGAGGGTTGGGAAGTCGCAGAAAGAAGTTAAGTGCGGGGTATGGGTATGTGTGAGGAGAGGGATTGGTAAAATTATGTGCCGGATCAGATTTCAAATTAAGTAATTATTATAGGCAGTATGAGATTCACCTGAAAAAAAAAAAAAAGATAGAACTTGCTAAATCTAAGGAGGGACTTTTAGAAATGCTAAACATTATGGACAGGTTTTAATTTGTTGTTTAATTTCTACTAGAAAGCCCCTAATTTGTAATAGTTTTATTTTTCAGCATGATACTGCTCCCAAACACACTGCTTATGTAATGAAATCATATTTGGAGAGAAAAACCAGCTGATAAAAACCCATCAAAATTGGTCTCCAAAGAGTCCAGACCTGAATATGATATCCAGTATGTTTAGGCAATGTTATAGGCAGTATGAGATACTGCTGAGGAGAGAAAGATAGAACATGCTAAATCTAAGGTTTCTTTCACACCTAGATGTTTGTTTCAGAACCTGTCTCATTTGCCCAGTTAATGCAGCATACGTTTGGCATGTGTAAAACCCGCAACTTCTCCAACTTTCTGCACTGACACCTCGAAAGAAAGATCAACAATAATCTGCTTCATGATCTGACTGCAGTCTCGGTTCATCTGTTATTTCTCTCAATAATTTAAGCCCATAATGCTTAATTTGAACGTTTTCTTAATAGATTATTTGCTTCAATAGATAGATTTTTACAAAATTTGACAACTGAAATGATGCTGAGAAAATCTTACCTCTCCGATTCATATTTAGTGATGTCTTTGGGTGTCAAAAAAAGTGCACCTTTTCGCGTATAGTGTCTTATTGTTTATCATCATAAATTAAATTAACAATGTATGACAGCTCAGCAGAATTCATGGGACTCTGAAAAATAAACCCTGAAACTGACCAAATTTGAGAAGAGTTTACTCACACGTGACTTGTTTTAACTATTTTGGTCTGTTTAGAAACTTTGGTGTGTGAAAGCGAACAACACCAAGAACACAAATAAACATTGTAACAATTTTATCCCTATTCACACATAATAATGTTATAATTTACTTCTCATTATATTTATTAAAATAGAGCCATAAAATATAGTTTTGGGTCGTACTGTATTGTTTAAGACAGCGATACAAAGATACGGCTAGAGAGAAAAACATAGAACATGCTAAATCTAGGGATGAACTCTTAGAAATGCTGAAAAGTACAGACAGGTTTTAATTTGTCACTGAATTCCTACTAGAAAGCACCTGATTTGTAGTAGTTTTATTTTTCAGCATGATAGTGCTCCCAAACACACTGCTTATGTAATAAAATCATATTTGGAGAGAAAAAAAAACAGCTAATTAAATTGTCATGAAATTTAATTATATACAGTATGTATTGACCTTATACAGAAGTGTGCTCGTTTTTACGATTGTTTTAGAACTTCCGATTCAGTCGCCTATGGGAGAAAAGACTAGGAATAATAAACAGCAGTAAATGGTCAAACTACTTGCTTTACCATTAAGTGTTTGCATGACTATACAGACAAAGCAGGATAATATAATAAGAGAATATCAGTTTGTAACATCAAGCAGCAAAACAAGCTGTTTTTAACAGCTAAAAATAAATGGAAGTGAATGAGACCGGAAGTCTCGAGTAAAAATGATTCATATGGCTGCGCCCACTCATACGTGGAAAATAAGGTGAATAGGCAGTATTCACCTGGAGAAGATAGAACATGCAAAAATCTGAAGAGGAACTCAGTTGTAATTACTTATTGAATTCCTACTGGAAAGCACATCATTTTTACTAGCTTTTATGTAGGCAATATTATAGGCAGTATGAGATTCACCTGGAGAGAAAAAGAAAGATAGAACAGGTTAAATCTAAGAAGGAACTTTTAGAAATGCTGAGACGCTTGATATTAAATAGCACATAATTTCAGAAGACAACAAAATAGTTGCTTATGCTAAAGAGGTCATTAAACAAAGCCCTTTGACACTAGTATTTTGATTCCCAAAGTAATTTTGTTCTGAATATTGTGTACATATTTCACATATTTACTGTGTTTATTAAATGTATAGTTAGGCCCAAACGAATTCTGCACGCAGATTTCTAGCCATCATTAATTCTGTTTATTTATTTGAGTAAATGTGTGTAAATCTGTATTTATTTAGTTTTTTTTAATTAATTAAAGTAATATTATTGACTAATATGAAAATGTTCATCAGATTTATGTACAATGCAGTTTGTACAGTCATATTTTCTGTCTTTTAGTAGAGATATTATATGAAAGACTTGCTTTGTTTACCAAATAAAGTGAATCTAATTGGATTTGCATTTTAAACATTAAATAAAGTTAAAAAGGTATTACTTTTTTATTTTATATATTAAGGTTTTAATTAGAGTATTCATTCATTTTCTTGTCGGCTTGGTCCCTTTATTAATGCTGGGTCGCCACAGCGGAATGAACCGCCAACTTATCCAGCAAGTTTTTACGCAGCAGATGCCCTTCCAGCCGCAACCCAGCTGCAACCCAATCATTCCACGGAAATCCACAGATTTTTACCAAAATTCTCCACAGAAATAGCAAAAAACGTCCTCAGATTCCGTCTAGGTATAGTTCACCCAAAAGTATTGACCCTGCACTTGCTCCATACAGTACCTTTTTGATATATAGATTTGTGCAAAGGGCTCCCAAAGCAGGTTGTGGCCTCAGAATTTTGCACAGTACTGTATATATACACACTACACTCTCACACACACCGAATGTCTCACTCACAACATAAAAAAAAAACAAAAAACAAATCAGGAGCTACACGTAAGCAAGTTTCCATCCACAAGGGGGCGATAGCAGCCTGACTATGACTCACCCAACGTAACAGGCTGACAGTTGGCAAAATGGATACAAAAAGCATAATCTGGCAGCCCATTTGCATGCTAAACGCTGAAGAAGGAACATTTTGTTGAGCAGAAGTGTTGTTAATGCCGAAGAGGAGCCCGACTTTATTCCTAAGAGAACGCTAACGTGATTGTGCTGCTCTTGCGTATTTCCTTTCCCCTCTGTCTCTCTCTCCCGATCGCTCTGCTCCCAACAACCCTCCTTTCACTTCCTCTAGCTCTCTCCATCTCTCCTTGTCAGGCCTTTTCTACTTACACTCGAAGAATTCTTTTCACCTCCGGCAGACGAAATGCTCCATCGCTTTTCCCTCTGTTGCAATAAAAATGAGGATGGGAGGAAAGAAAAATAAAGCGAGAGAGGCAGAGAGAGAGAGACAGAGAGAGAGAGAGAGAGAGAGAGAGAGAGAGAGGGGAAGAAAGACAGGTAGAGAGTGAAAGAAAAAAGAAGGAGGAGGATCACAGTCACTGAACATGTCTGCGGGGAAAGCCACGTTTCTTTGAATTTTACCTTGATGGAGGAGTCTATACATTCAGTCTCGGAGGCATGTACGCTCCTATATACCCCTTTTTTTGCAGAGACGACTTAAATGTCTACAACACTACAGCACTAACTTTAGCATGTATGAACTATGTCGGACATGTCTGTAGTGAAACTCTGGAGCAGAGGAAGAGGAAGATTGAACAGTGCACGCTATAGGGAAGGAGATTCTATGAGGTTTTGAAGGCAAAAATTATATGGAGACATAATCTGTTTTAAAATAATGTTGCCTAACTTCTAAAGCAGCATAGTGGTGTAACAGAAATGTATTTTTGACCCTTGGAATGCTCTAGGAATTGTTTTAGGTACTACATAACTTAGTTAACTGCTACTCGAAAATTAGATTGAGCTGTTACTCTACGTAGCTTAACTACACTAAAAGCTACTCTGGAAAATGTAGCAAGCTAAGCTAAAAGCTAGTTGGCAAAAGTAGTTAGCTACATCTAAGCTATTTTTGCAATTTTCATTTTTAAATTGAAGCAACTTAAATTTAGGTCAATCATATTTTAGTGATCAATAAAACTGTTAATGAAACATATGAGGCGTAATTATTCAGTCCAACTATTTACTGCGAATGATAATGTATTAAAGATAAACTAATTAAAGTATATGACAGCAATAACAAAAAATCCAATAAAACCAGGTGTTACACATTTAAAATAATATAGTAATTTATAGTAAAGGGAATGTTTTATGAATGAGCATTATATTGTATATATATTTACAACTCTTCATTAATAAATTCCACTACACAATATAGTATCATCATTAACTAATAGTAATTAGTAACTCCTCTCCCTCATATTTCCATTAAGCAAATTTTTAGTTTTAGCCTAATTTTTTGGTGACGTCACAGACTGGAGCAAGTGGTGGCGGTAACGCACTAAAAGCTTTGCTGTCGTCCACCATAAAACAGGAAGAGGAAGAAATCGTTGTTCTCGCTATTATATTGATTAACTTTCATCGGCTAGACACCGGCCTCACAGCTCCGTAAATGTCAGTGGTGTTACTTATTGATCCACGATCAGTAACTGTAGCTTGTGTGGACGCTACTGCTCTATTTGACTAATAAAATAGCTTTGCTACTGAAAAGATATTTGATTTATAAAGTAGCAACGCTACCGCCACGCTACTGAGAAATGTAGTTAAGCTAGTAGTGTTAACTTGTAGCGATGCTACTGCCCAACATTAAGCGAAATAAAGGAAATGTGGATGTACAAGTTGTGCCTCTTTACTTTTATTCATACATTCTTTCATGGCTTAATGGGATAGTAAATCATCTGGGTACTCTTGCATACTGTTTTTGAATATCATACATTAATTTAGATGTAGTCATACTTAGGCATGGCATGATACAGTAACTGTCCTCAAGATCTACCGAAGTTTAAAAAAGTCAAGGTTTTAAAACCTGCTATATCGTTCCTAAGGTAAGATTTTTTAAATGATCTTTTAGGATAACAGCAATACAATAGACTAGTTCATTAATAATTAATGGGAAAAAGAGTTCTTGAGTCTTGATTGAAAATGCTATTTTGGATTCATTTTAGCATTTACCTAAATGCTAACAATGCAGTAGATTGCATCAGTGCGCGCCAACTTATACAGAAATGGGCTTTAAGAGGTAAATAAGAGAATTTAATAAGACAAAATATAAAACTATTAACTTTCAATTGTTTATTATAGCTATAGAAATTATATATTGATTGGTGAAAACGCACATGTTGTTTCTATAATACAGTAAGATCTCAGTTCAAAACGATAACCACCATTTTTGGATTTTTTTCAAAAATATATTCTTTTACTTAATGTGAAAACCTGTATTCTGAAATCTATATAAAACTCTCCAGTTTTAGTCATTTCCAGAAATGTTGTTGTTTTGTTATTGTACTCTTCAATGCACAACATAAAAACATGATATCTGAAAATGCCAAAAAATGGAGTAAGGAGACTGAATCAGTTATATAATCTGTGGTGCATTTTAGCAGTGGGTGGACCTAAACATCTATTTTGACACTCTACTCATTGTGCTCTCTAATTGGAGGATTTTAAATATAGCACTATGGGTAATGTAGTTTTTCCAACCTGAATTTTACTATCAAACCTAATTATTATTTTCTTAGTTCTAAGAATTTTGGCAAACGAATGCGTTTAGCAAAAGCATATTTATGAATATTATCAACATATTGATTAAAAAGCTTGGGTTATGACAAGTTATAACAGTGCAGTATGTGTGTTTAATTCAATCAAAATGTTAGATACATTTTAGCATTCCGAGACTAATTAGACTTAGCTATTTTTGTTTGATATCTTTCCATTTTTAACTATTCAGTGTTGAGGTTATTCACCATCTAATAGACAGTTTTTGCCTTGTTTTTAGTTTTGGGATATCAATGTAAGTCCCCGAAAGTCGAATAGTTTATGTGGCTACCCTAAGATTAAGACTTCGATCCCATCCAGTCAGAAAAAATCAAACATATCTGATATTTAGAGCCGGTTTTAAAACACTTATTGTTGTTATTTATCATACGTCTAGCATTGATGTACAGTACGTGCTTCTGCACAAGTTTGTTGTATCTTGCATTGATTTAAACATCTAGCAGTGTGTTTTTAGTGTATGATGCCCAGTTTATCTACTTGTGTGCTTACAATTATGACATTGATTCCTTTCCTGACAAAGGATATATACAATGCTGCCTTAGAAATTAGCCAAAATGCAATACTGACAATCTTTTAAAATAACCCTCACATCAGGAATATCTCAAAAAGGCTTTGTTAGTAGGCACTATGTTTTGATAAAGAGATGTTTTGTCTCCACAATTTCTGCACTTAGTCCTTATAGAGAACGCTATAGATTCTTTAACAATGGATTTCACTCTTTCTTCCCTTCCTCCCTTTCCCGAAAGTGTCGATGGTTATGAATGACATGAGCAAGATTACACAATCTGCGTCTGCAGTACCTTGAAGTGTATAAATTCAAAGTAATATCATTCAAATGACTTGATTTTCTGCATCCTGGATAAAATTACCCATCAATTCCTTCTAGTATTTTTGCCCACCAAAGAATGTTTTTTTTTTTTTTACACTAGAATGATTCCCCATTTATGTTTCTACACAGTTGACAACTGTATCTGTCCTCTAGACAAAGAAAGTCTTTGGATTGGAGGACTGGTAATAGGTGTGCAGACAGCAAAGGGAGAAACGACAAAACAGCAGTGACCACAACCTACGGTATGTGTCCACCAACACAAATGAGAAAGCACAGGTCATGAAGAAGTCGACTGTTGCACAATGAAGCAAAGGAAAGAAGTGAAAGGAGCAGTGTCTACAGCAGCAGGGCAGCAAGTTTAGTCACTGTGGGAGTTCTGTACTGCTCTAGAAGTATCTATGGAGACTATAGGATGGAAAGGACAAAGGAGACACTGTCTAGGAGCGATATGCGGCTTGGGCACACTTCTCTCTGGATGAGATTTACTTATTCATTTATTTGTTGGGTTACCTTTTCTGTTTTTGTCGCCATTGGGTCTGCTGACTGCTTGTCTACAGTCAAACTATGACAGAAAACATGTCGTTTCAAACCAAGGAAAGACAAAGACAGTGCAAAATATAAAAAAGTATAATAAAATAAATAAATTAGACACATTTAAAACATAAACAATGTAATAAGCAGTGCACAAAACAGACAAAAATGACACAAGAAGTAGCTGGATTGAGTAAAACAACATGGGTGTGCAACACAAAACTGGTGGGAGGATAACACATTAAGGCCTTTGTCAGAGATGAGTGTCTGGGGTGAATTCCCTGAATTGTAATGCCACTTTTGCCGTTTCTGAAGCAGTAGCTCATCAAATAATGATCAAATGAAGGCCATACAAGCTATTTAACTGGCCTTAGGTGCATTTACCAAGAGACAACATAAGTGGTTGCTTAACCAAAAATCTATGAACTGTTGCTGCCTTCTTAATATATAGGAGATTTCATTTCTCACTTAAAAAGATGGGAGTAGCGTGTCACATTCAAGGGATTTTTAGAAGAAAATAGAACTACCAATGGAAGACATCAGGGGCATAGACAGATCCTAACAATAAAATCTTATCATATTTGTGTGGTAAACATGGTAATTTCACTTACTGTAGGACCAGATTTAGGACAAAAGCTATTAGGGAATAGCATTGCCTAAGTCTTATCTTAACTATAGAAAGGTGGTGGTATTACAGCATCCTAACTTGACATAGACACCTTAAAATGGTCTTATCTTCAGGTTAAGATTAACTTAAGGTTTACTTTAGTTAATGACTTAACTTTAACTTGACATCTGTCCCAACTCCTAAATTATTTGAAAGCTAATTCTTTTAATGGAACAATAGAATTTAGATTTATTGACGATTGAAACTGAAGAACAAAGATTTTTATTGGTAGAAAGACTCTTCCCTGAAGATGTGTTATACATTTCGATGGCAAAACGAAACTCAGACTAGCATTACAGAAACCAACAAACCATGGTGGAGCATTACTGGTTTGTTTATGCATTTTGTTTAGGCTAGTTCATTAGCAATTCGTGCAGTTTATCTTGATTGGAAACTTTTTAAGATTTTAAGATTTCAGAACTGTATATAAGATACAATTTTCCAAGACACAATAAGAATCCCAAATGAAGTTAAGATTTCCGTCTACACTGTAAAATGGTATCTATAAGTTAGCAGTTTTCTGTATATTGCGATTTATGTTTTTAATGTTTTATTTTTACCTGTTTAATTAGGCTTTTTAACTGCAAT